TCATCCGGCTCTACACCTTGTTATCTCAGATTCTCCAGCTCCTACTATCTGTGGATATTTTATTCAGGGTTTTCCAAACATGGTGTTGATTCAGTATGGTTGATATGCTGCTTATTACAAATTACCATAGGCAAATGTTGCTTAATTCAATCAAGCATTATTTTGAACAAATAGTATCTGTTCTTGCTATTGCAGCAGCACAGCATTGCTGAACTCTTGTACCTAGACTATAAGACATAACAGCAGAAATTAGGCTGTTTGGTCTATTTGAATCTACTCCACCATTCAATCATGTCTGATAGGTTTCTCTGTGTGGCCCCTCATCCCCTTGACAATCAAGAACCTATCTACCTTTGTCTTAAATATACACAATGACCTGGCCTCTACAACCTTCTGTGGCAATGAATTCTATGTAGAATGTTGTTTTAGGTTGACCGCTGCATTCCATTAGTGTAAAATACTCTTTCACTCACATTGCCTTTGCATGATGGCAGTGTCAAATAGCTTGAGTAACCTGTTGCTCACATGTTTGAGTTACTTTTCTTTCTTTACAGCAGGTTTGAGAGAGAACAGATGCTTTACAATTCCAAATGATGCAGGTTGTTCCTTTCCCTCAACACCCATTTCCTTAAGTCTGGGCATGTATCTGCACCAGTAGGCTTATTCACTGTAAGCAAAGCATCTTCTGTTTTTCCTGCCATTAGTTTTCTCCCAGTTGTTTATCTCTACAATCTCCACTTCTAACAATTTTTCAGCATTCTTTGTTAGTAAATGTTAACCATTCCAGCCTTGCACTTGACCTCTTAAGGATATAGTACCCTCTTTGTCCCTAATAGGACCCACCCTTCCTTTTACCATTGCTTTCTCTTTACATGCCAGAAAGAGATTCTTGGTTTCCCTTTTATGAAAACTGCCATTTTCTTCTCATGGAGTAAGAATATGAATTTGTTGTAGTTTGTCTTGCCATGTGGCAATAATGTTATTGAAAGTAGATTAGATTATCATATGAAAATTGCAGGTCTTTCTATATCATGTAATTACACTTTATCACAAAATAAAAATATATTGCACCTTTCATGACCTCTACATGTCCCAAAACTTTTTAAAGTCAATTAGGTACTTCTGAAATGTAGGAAGTTATTTAAATTTATTGTTATTTTTTCAAATTATTGAGTATTAGGTTTAACATAAACAATAAATTTGAGGATTTGCTAGTTAATTGTTTCTGAACTTCACATAACTTGCCTAAGATGACTGAACACCAATTGTTTAAAATTTAACAGCTTTTATCTTTGAAGCATACTTTGTCCTATGTTTTAACACTAGAGAATCAGAATTCAGTCCATATTCCACTAAGTTTCCAATTTCGATCTCTTGCTTTGGACGGTGGCAAATGTTAACCAGGGCCCTCACCAGAGAGTTGGTAAAAGTTTCTGATTTCTGTTAAAGCATCTCTGTCAGCAGCCCACGGTGGCAGACATTTTAAGGCAAAAAAGCAAATGCCAGAGACTTTGAATAAATCAGTTTTTTTTATTTGTCTTCTCTGTAGAAGGCCGGAAGTATCCGGGAACAGTAGAAAATGAAGGTGCAGAAGGAAAGATGAGTGAGTTTGGGTATTAGTTTTTCCCCCCAGAATTTGACCATTTGCAGAGTGATATCTTTTATTTGATATTTTCTGAAATAAGTTGATAGTCAGGAAGCTATGTTAATTATAACAAGTGTCTTCCTGCAGACTTGTTGTCTACACATTTGTAACTAACTAACTTTTTTTTGTTCTTTTGAGTGTGGATGAGCTGTCCTTGAACTTAGTGGCTTGCTAGGTCATTTCAGAGGGCAGTTAAGAGTCAACCACACTTGCCATGGGTCTGGAATTACATGTAGGCCAGACTAGGTGACGGTGGCAGATTTCCTTCCCTGAAGGACATTAGTGAGCCAGATGAATTTTCCCAAAAATTGGCGTGTTTTCATGGCCATAATCGATTCCATAGCCTCCTATCTTCATGTTTTATTTAAAGCCAGGTTTGGGTTCAAGTCCCACTGCCATGGAGGTGTGTCATAACTTGTCTGAACAGCTTACTTTATAATTGGGCATTGTGCAGTGCCCCTTCTTTTGGGCCAGACAGTCTGGACTCAAATCCTACCAGCCATGGCGGTGTATGATAATATGTGCAAAAAAGTTGATTTGCCTTTAAAAGGCATGGTACGCTTCTCAAAACCAAGAAATCTAAGAAATGTATTCTGACTAATTTATTATATTAACTAGAATTATAATTATATGGAAGCACCAGATTTCTAATACTACATAATTAAGTTTATGGAAAATGCATAGCTGCTTTAAAAAAAAAAAAAAAATGCTGATTAGACGAAGGGAATTGTTCCATGGCTTGTCAGTGCTTGGAAAATCATGATCTGTCCAGTTCTGGCTTCAGGGTTGGGCTCATTTATTCACAATCTAATCCAGATTATTTAAAAACAAATATGCCATAAACTGCACATTTAACAAAGATATTATCATTAGATGATGTTATTAAGGATTAATTAAATTGATGCAACAACTGTGAGCTGATAGTTCCTGTAAAGTCAAGCTGTTGTAGTGCAGTAGTACCTCTAGACCTGGGTTAAATTGCACCTGCTCCAGAGGTGCATACTAAAACATCTGAACATGTTGCTTAAAAAATATCCAGAATATCTTCCTACATACCTTGACTTGACAGAGACTCATGGTGCAGCAATAGTACCTCTGTTCAATTCCCACCTGCCCCAGAGGTGTAATAGAACATGTCTGAACAGGTAGATTAAAATAACTAATAACTTGAGTTGACATAACATAATGTCCACTTCAAAGATAAAACCTTGAGCCCAAGACAGGCCTGTGATAAGTGGTATACTGGTAATTCTGGAGAGACAAGGACCTGGTCTAAGAATTGTTGCTGAAGAGATTCCAGGGCTATACTTTTGTGGTCTGATCAACCATGGAAGGTCAGAAAATACTGTTTGACTTTAAGTATGTATTTTCCCTCTGTTTTGATTTGAGTTATTTGCAAACAGAAGTGTGTCTACTCAAAAGAGGTGCTGATTTGCTCATAGTATTGAGTTGCTGTCTGTCTATTTAAGAGGGCTTAACCACACAAATTCTTCACACTTGATCATTTGTAATATTTTAAATCTGTACTGATGAGCATTCTTTCAAATAAAACTTATCAACATTGCCACCTCAGTATCCTTATTGCTGTTTCTATTTTAAAGTCTTATTTGAACATGATTTACTTAAAAATAAATCACTACACAATTGGGTTAATTGGTTAAAGTCACTGAGTCACAAGAGAAGAGCTTGGAAGACTACAGAGGCGAAAGTTTGAGTCCTAGACATGCTTGGCCTGTATCTTTGTATTCAAATAAGTTGATGCATGAGGCAAATCTTACACCACTGGTGAAGGTCTTGCCTGCCAGCTAGAGAATCGGCGAGTGACTTGTATTGCATTTATTAAGAGACCTGCCAGAACCTCTACCAATCAAGCTGTTCTGAACACCAGCAGGCATTCCTCTTGGCTTCAGCTATCCAGGGGGCGTTAGTACAGATGCTTCCACCCAGTTCATAAATGCTGGCTGTTGATGTGCTTAGACAATGGGCATATCAGAAATCTTGGTTGCTGACTGAAGAGAAGTTCACGTCCGAGGATTTGTCAGCAAGATGTTTTCGTTTCCCCCCACCAACTCTATGGGGTATTCCTGAAAACGGGCCATGAAAATAGAGGCTCAGTTACAACCAAGGGCATCAGGGTGGCTCCATGTTCTTGAATGAGGACCTACTACTCAACAAACAACTAGACTTGCTACTTGCAGGAAGTCTACATGGAAACACGATTGCCTGCCGCTGCATCAATTGGACAAACACTTTTAAAAATAAGTTCTCAAACACGGGTCTAGGCCCGAAAAGTCAGCCTCTCTGCTCTTCTGCTGCTTGGCCTGCTGTGTTCATCCAGCCCTGCACCTTGTTTTCTCAAACATGTGCTGGCCAACGTTTGCTGCATCACTCAACCATGAGCAGTGACAGTCAAGTGCATCTTCCACCCACCGACGTTGGCCGGCCACGTGATCATTGTGGGTGGTGGGCGGGGTGGCAAGCGTCAGTCATGTGATCATGGGGTGGTCACGGGTGTGGACATGCGCAGTGTTTGTCATTGTTAAAGGGAATTGCTGGCCCGGTGGTTGTAGTCTGCAGTGTGTGGTAAACGATCTGACTGTTGGTGTGGGTCCCAGAGGGAACGTTTGGCCAGGCCGGTGTGTTAGGCCCGGAGGATAGAGGAGCACGTATCGTGATTGGCCGAAGCTGTTACTCGCTGCTTGTCGCTGCTATCACAGTCCAACTTGAAGGTAATTCGGTAGCTTATCCCGATAGAAAATACGGCGATCTCTGTTGAAATGGATTTGCAAACTTCCTCGCTTGACAATTGTCTCGACTCGTTTGTTCCTCCTGTTTGAGTTTACTTAATGATTCCTGCAGAATGGATGAGTCGGCTGAATTTTAATCCCGTGATGTTGTTCACGTGGGGCTTGGTTCCTCCTTTTGCTCCCGTCATTTTATTGCATTTACTTTTTAGCTGAGACTACAGTTGTCCGAATCCCGAAATAAGACTTGTTTTGGGATATTGTTATAAGTCTAAAACACAGTAGTAGATGTAATTGGTTAATATGTAACTTCATATTGCTGATAATGGGGACTTAAAAACATTGTCTATTATAAATATTTTAAATGAGTATTTCTTGCGAATTACCCCGATGAGCGAAAGGTGAAAAGCTTTGATTAAAATGTATCCTCTTTTTCAGCGATTGGTAAATATTCAGCCAGATTGTCAAAGGAAAGGTAAACTGAAGGGCATCCCTACCACTTGAAAAGAAGAACTCTCTATTTCTGAGAGGCAGTTCCGCTCAGGGCACCATCGGAAATGTGGAGCCATACTTGCGTTTTTTTTCTTATCGCAGAACTGTCAGAGGACGGCAAACATCTCCCTTTCACAGTCCGCTGTTGTGTTCTGAAATTTAAAGATCGTGACAGGCACTTTGACAGTTACCTTATGTACCTTATGTACTCCGGGAAGTCGGAGTATAGAGTGCCAGGGTTTCAAGTAAGTAGGATGCTGGCTGGAGACGGATTAGAGGGATGGTTAGGATGACGTGAGTGGGTGGGGAAGAAAAAAGTGCCAGGTAGGTAGGGGGCAGAGTGGTGAGGTAAATAATTCAATGTTTAGGGTAGGTTAGAGAAACCGGGCCTGTCAGGGTTAGGGTGATTGGGAAGGGTCACCGGACCCGAAACGTTAACTCTGTTTTGTCCTCCACAGATGCTGCCAGACTTGCTGAGCTTTTCCAGCAACTTTGTTTTTGTTAGGGTGATTGGGTTGGGTTAGGTCAGGTGCTGGAAGGATCTGGTCCGATGGGAATAGAAATGGCCCAGAAGCAGGGGTGCTCCTGGTTCAGATCCAAACAGAGCCAGTCTGGGCTGCATTTTCTGCATATAAACCAATGTTTTCCCAGCTACCATCAGCTTTGAGAAAGGGTCACCGGACCCGAAACATTAACTCTGATTTTTTTTTTCCCAACAGATGCTACCAGACCTGCTGAGCTTTTCCAGCAACTTCTGTTTTTGTTTGAGGATGGTGTGTTGCCTTCCTGGTTACAATCTCAGGATTACTCCTGGTGCCACGTGCTAGTGAGCACAGAAGAGGAGAATAGAAAAAATGAATACACGGCTCAAGCCGTGGTACAGGAGAAAGGGTTTTAGATTCCTGGATCACTGGGCCCTGTACAAAGGGGATGGTCTGCATCTGAACCAGAATGGGACCAACATCCTTGCGAGAGGGTCTGCTAGTGCTGTTGGGAGGAATTTAAAGTAGTTTAGAAGAAGTAGGGGACACAGTGCATGAATTCATTAGCACTATACCATAACTTAAAAGGAACCAAGGCAAAACGAGTTCAACCATGTTGTGTCACAATGAAGTATGGTGTGGCTAGCTGATATCCATTTAAATCCAGGTATATTAGAGGTGAGACATGAGTTGGGTATGGATTGACATATGGAACTGCGATATTTTTGTTGCCACAGAAATGTGGTTCAGGCAGGGATAAGACTGGCAACCTAACTTTCTGGGGTAAAAGATCTTCAGGGAGGGTGCAAAAGTGGAGGTGGTATCACATTATTAATTAATTAGGGAGTCAGTTAGTTACTGCAGTAAGGAAGGGTCATCAAAATTATACTTTATGGGTAGAACTTAAGAATAAAAAGGCGGCAGCCATACTGTTAGTGTGTTATAGATCCCCAAACAGTCAGCCAGCAATTGATGAGCAGATACGTAGTCAATTCATTAAGTCAGAAACCAAAAAAAGGGTAATTATATTAGGAGGTTCCAAATACCCCAATATTATTTGGGGTAATTAGACTTTAGAAGGTACAGAGTGGGGGAAGCAAGCCCCCATGTTGGAAGTGTAGGAATAACAAGCCCAGAGATCACTGGATATCCAGTAATATTAAGTGGATAAAAAAGCAAAATTTAAAAGATACATACAACAGGACCAAAAAGGAAACAACACAATGGAGGCCCAAGAGGAGTGTCGAAAGTACAGCAGGAAACTCGAGAAAGCAATTAGGGACCAAAGATGGGACATGAGAAAATGCCAGCGGGCAAGATTAGTGACAATCCCAAGTTATTCTTTATCAAGGGATAGAGAATAACCAGGGAAACAGTAGGGTCTATTAGGGGCCAAGGGAGCAATCTGTGTGAAGCCAGAAGACAGTGGTAGAGTATTAAAGGAATACTTGACTTTGTCTTAACTTGCAATGGGGAGGATGCAATAAAGATTGAGAAGATGGACTGAGAGGTTTTTGAGCAGCTGATTAGTATGGCAGTATTGGAAGCTTTGGCCAATTTAAAAGAAAGACAATCCATCCAGACCAAGAGATTTGTATCTCAAACTGCTATGGGAGATGAGGGAGGAAATTACAGAAACAGATTTTTAAATCCTACCTGGTCACAGGGGAGGTGCCAGAGGACTGAAGAACAGCTAATGTGTGTGCACTGAAAAGAAAGGTTGTAGATATAGACCAGGCAATCTAATATCAATAGTAAGGAAATTAGTGAAGAAAGTAGTCAAGCAGAAAATTAATCTGTTTAGAGAAGCGAGGCTTGATCAGGGATAGTTAGCATTGTAAATGGAAGGTCATTCCTAACAAATCTGCTTGAATTTTGAGGAGCTGACCGACTGTTTGGATGGAGGATAGGGCAGTTGATATACTTTATATGGACTTCAGCAAGGTCTTTGACAAGTTCCCACATAGGAGACTGATATGGAAGGTAAAAGCTCATGGGATCCAAGTTGGATCTAAAATTGACTTAGCAACAGAAGACAGGTGGTGGTAGAAGGCTATTTGTGTGACTGGAACTTGGTGTACAGTGGTGTACCAAAGGGATCAGTGCTGGGTATGTTATTGTTTGTGACAATCATGAATGATATAGATGACAATGTGGGAGGGACAATAAGTAAGTTTGAGGATGACACAAAGATTGGGCAATGGTTAACAGTGAGGAGGAAGGTGTTAGGTCACAGGAGGATTTAAATGGGTGGTCAGATCAGTAGCAGATGGAATTCAACCCTGATAAATTTTAAGTGATGCACTTTGGAAGGAACAAGATAAGCGAGTAATTGATGAATAGTAAGGTAGTAGGAGGCTCAGAAGAATAGTGATCTCTAGCTGTTAGTCCACAGATCTCTGAAGGTGGCAGACAAGTTAATAGAGCAGATAAGGCAGCATAATAGATGCTTGCCTTTATCGATCATGGCATAGATTATAAGAGCTGGAACATTGTGTTGGAGCAGTTTGGTTAGGCCACAGCTAGAGTACAGTGTGCAGTTCTGGTCACTGATTTGAAAAAAAGGATGTGTTTGCATTGCAGGGTATGCAAAGGAGATTGGTCAGGATGTTGCCTATGATGGAGCATTTCAGCTTAGAGAAGCTGGATAAGCTCTGTTTTCTTTGGAGCAGAAAAGGCTGGGGGGTGGGTGGGGAGGAATCCTTGGTAGAGGTGCATAAGATATAAGGGGCACAGTCAAGGTGAATGGAAAACTGTTCCCCTTTAGCTGTTGGATCAATACCAAGGGAGAATAAGTTAAGCTGAAAGGCAGGGAGTTTAGAAGAGATTTGAAGCCTTTTTCACCCAGCTAGTGAAGGGTGTCTGGAATGTGCTGCCTGGAAGAATAGTTGAGGCAGGAAGCCCCATAACCTGTAAAATTACTTGGATACACACTTCAAGTGTCATTAATAGTCAAGGCTATGGGTCTAGTGAAGTAAAATGGAGGGAGTGCTGTATTTTTGGCAGTACAGATTTATGGGCCAAATGGCTATGTCTGTACTATAAGATTTTATGACTGAATGATAAAAAGACTATATTTGTCTTCCTAGGTATCACTTTGAAACTACCCACTATAGGAGACAACTAAATGAGGACAAGGCAATCTGAAGCCTCGTGAACGTCTTGTACTTTTTGTTTTTTGTTTTGGTTCACTGGCTTTCTAATGCACCCACATTGCTACACCATCTGATTGTGTTAATTATAAAATCCATACAGTCTGGAAGCAGGCCATTTGACCATTGAGTCCACCAATCCTCCAAAAGGGCATCCCACCCAGACCTATCGCCCCTTATCCCTGTAACCCTGCATTTCCCATGGTTGATACAACTAATGTGTATATCTTTGGACTGTGGAAGGAAATTGGAGCACAGGGGAAACCCTCCCAGACACAGGCAGAATGTGCAAACTCCACAAAGCTGGAATTGAACCAGGTCCTTGGTGCTGTGAGGCAGAAGTGCTAACCACTGAGCCACCGTGCAGCCCTATGTTTGGATCAGCAATGATCAACTCAACAAAATTTGTGGACACTGCCTACAGAATTGTCTTTCCAGTCTTTCCGCTCTGTGTTTTTTCCCATGTGTGTGTGGGTAAGGGTTATAAGGAGTTTAGGACTTCAATTTACTCTGTTCTATGCCAACTGTTTAAATTGGTTTACATGTAGCCAGAGTTTCTGTAATTTTTGTGCAGTACAGAAACCTGTTCCATATTCAATCAAGCTAGTTGTGAAAATCCAGTAAATTGGGGGGCATTGTGTACTCTATTTGCAACTTGAACTTTTGATGATAAATTCAAGCCACACGACTCCAGGTTGTAGCCCAACAAGAAGGGGGAGGCTTGATTTTCAGTCTGTTGGGTAGAGAACTGTCATGCTTCTTTGGGCAAAATGCACTAGCACAAACAGATCTTTATTTGCCCATTAGCTTTAAACTTTTTTTTCTGAAGGGTACACTGTTATTAATTGATGTATTTTCAATATTCACATACCCACATGCATATTTATGGTTTTAGAAGTTCAACATCATTTAGTCTTCAATACCCCAGGCCTCATCTATAGTCCTCAACCACACATGTATCTTAGCATTAGTAAACTTACATAACATTTCCAAGGACTATTAATGTAAAAAAAGTAAACAAATCTGAGAATAGATCATTTAAGAGACATGTAACACATTAAGACTCAAAACAGCCACGACTGCAGCATCGAACTTTTGCAGTGGAACAATATTTCTAGCACAAAACTGTAACTAAATGACCACATAAAAAATTGCACACTTTTCAGAATTTCTGTGACTGAGTTGTTTTTTTTTTTTTTGCTGAGATTGCACAAAAATCTATTAGTAACTGCAATGTGTTTCTCAACTAGCACTGAAAAACTACAAAAATTTTACGATGTATATTAATAAAATCTCTCCAAATCAAAGGGTGGAAGTGCTTATTTTAAAAAAAAAAGAGAAAAACAAACAAACATTCAAAAGGGCATAATGGTTTCAGTAAATTAGAAGCAGCACGCTGGCTTAGTGGTTAGCATTGCTGCCTCATACTGCTAGGGAGCCGGGTTCGATTCCACCCTCGGGTGACTGTCTGGGTGGAGTTTGCACGTTCTCCCTGTGTCTGCGTGGGTGTGCTCTGGTTTCCTCCCACAGTCCAAAGATATGCAGGCTATGTGGATTGGCAATGCTAAATTGCCCCTAGTGTTTAGGGGATTTGTAGATTAGATGGGTTATAGGGGGATGGGTCTGGGTGGGATGCTGTGAGAGTCAATGTGGACTTGTTGGGCTGAAGGGCCTGTTTCCACACTGTAGGGATTCTATGAAAAAAAAATCTGGAAAACCACTTCAGTTTACATGTCTAATCTATTTGCTAAATTTACATCTGCTGTCATGACACAGTGACAGTAGGCCAAAGTAAATCAGCCTCATTGTTACTGAATATGCAAGTGAAATTAAAATATTGAAAGACCTTCAAAAATTGTTCCTAACCAATCTTTTACTAACAGCTCTCAAACACCAAGTTTATAGCTTAAACAAAAGTAAAGTTTATTATTAATATTGTAAATTTAGCAGAGCAAGGCCAAACACGGTGGTCTAATTATTGTCTATGACAAACTCAACCTTCTTTGATTGTAACTCCCAGTTTCACAGAGGCACTTAAGGAATAAGTTAAAAAGAAAAAAAAATTTCAACACTGTTTCAGTGATGAGTATCAGATCTTCATGGAATCCTTGAATGATGTGCTGTATAACAGTCACGTAGGATCGTATCTTGCTTGAATTCTAAAGTCACCGCTCAGTGCGAACATTTTTCAGCAAGGTCCGAGGAACGCTCACTTATTTCCTATAAGCTGGGATTCTTATCTCAGAACATTCATCAATATCACTGCCCAGCCAGTGGTAATGGCAGGCTATGTGGTAACAAGGCCTGGTGTGTGGAGTAGGGGGCTAGCATGTAGGAGTCGAGGCCCTAAAATTATTGAGCTCTGTATTGAGTCCGGAGGGCTGTAGGGTCCACAAGTGGAAAATGCAGTGTTGTTCTTTCAGCTTGCGTTGAGCTTCGCTGGAATGCTGCAGCATCATCCTGAAGTTGGATTGGCAGCTATAGAAATGTCTGTCTGGTACACTAATTAATGAATCCCCTGTCACGATCGCTGTTGCTTTTTTCTTCTTGTCCCACCCTGTACAGTCAGGCTGTTTGTTCGAGAAGTGTAATGACTTGGGTGATTTAACCTAGATTGACGCCAATCCATTTCACCATTTTCAATGTTATGGTCAGCAGCAAAGTGACCTGTTTTCCATTTTTCAAAGTCAGCTAGAAAAATGATGATTTTTAATAGCATGAATTTCACATTTCCTGATTTGTTTGATTTCTGGCATCAAGTCTAGGGGATTTCTCACCCTACAACAAGCATCAAGAAACCAGCTAAGCCAGGAATTGCATTTAAAGATTTTTGAAGATAGCAAACCAGGAAGCAAAATCAATTGTTTATAATGCGTTATTAATATTGTATTAAGAGATCAAAATAAAGCTCAGAACAGACAGGATAGGAATAAGGTGGAAGCTGAAATATCAATTTTTAGAAATATTTTAAAAAATTCATGCTCAGGGAAGTTGCTCAGTGATAGTTATGACTGAGTACACAGTTTGAAAATGCAGTTGCAACTCCTACAAGGTGCTAAAACACTTTTGCAGTTGAGAAAAGCAAGTTCATGTCAGTTCAGGTGATTCCTAAAGATCAATTTCTATGTGACTTCAATAATGTGTCTGTAGGAGCATAGATGCACACGCCAGAAGAGTTAACAGTATGGAGCTGGACGAACACAGCAGGCCAGGCAGCATGAGAGGAGTAGGGAAGTTGATGTTTCAGATCGGGACCCTTCTTCAGTCTGTCAGTTTCCTAGTTAGCAGGAAATGAGGGCTGAGGTGGGCATTTTAAGTAGCTGATCAATGATGATCTCATTTTGTCGCAGAGCAAGTATGGGGCTAAAGGGCCGACTCCTGTCCTGTGTTCTTCTCTGAAACTGGGGTGGTGGAGGGGTGGAATCTGTCAATTGCCCTCTTTATTGTAAATTTTTTTTAAGGATGCAAAATAAGTTAGGATGAACCCATGGTTTCACTGTTTGTGATATGTTGAAGAAAACTGGTTCAACTAAATAGCAGTTGCGCACACTAAGTTGTAGAAGTTTACAGCACAGGAAGGCATTTGAAATACCTTATCATGACACCTCATAATTTCAAATGCCACATCAGCTGTCTTGAGCTTATTCTAATGAAAAGTAACTGTTGTTTTTCGGATTCAAAAGGAAAATACTGTGGATACTGAAATCTAGAAATAAAATCAATGCTGGAAATACTCCAGCCTGCATTTTATTTTTCAGGTTTAACTGATGTAGCTGAAAGAACTGAATGTTTCCATAATGTGCTGATTTTATTTCCAGCCTATTCTAAAGCCTCACCTCTCTGGTGCATCTTTTAGTACATCTTCCAAGTGGAGTTGCTCTTGTAGCGAGTTTGTAGATGTGATATGCAAAATTACTGCCTCTTGTACAAAATCCATTCAACGGTTCTGTATTTTATTGATGTCACCGAAGTGTCCATTTATGAACTATGTGGTTTACTTTAATATAGTTTATAATCACAACCCTTCAAAGATCACAGATGCTGGAATAAAACTAATTCTATTTTTGCTAATGTGGAAGATGTTTGAACTTGTTTTTTGACAACATCATGGCAACCATGGGAGAGAATGCCTTTCTTAAAAAGGTGGGCAGAAAGATCTAGTTGCAATGATGCATTGGTCAAATAGTATGAAATATGCATAGCTTGGCTGGTTCAATTTTTGAGATTTTCTGAATATCTAATTCGTATGTTTCTTTTCATTCAGATGGCAATACCCATGAACAAGCTTTGTGGTCTGGTTGCAGCAACCTTCACACCGATGACTCAAGAAAAGTAAGAACGATTGGTGTTACTTAAGACCTAATGTTCACCTGCTTACTTATTGTCACATTGGCCTAAAATTCTTTCTTGTCTTCCAGTGAAATAAACCTGTCTGTAATTGGTCAGTATGTTGATTATCTGGTAAAAGTCCAGGGGATTAAAAATATTTTTGGTAAGTTTTTATGCCAGAATTTCAGATACTATTCTTATCCATTTTTTTTTAATCTTCCACACCAACAGTAACACCGTACAATTCTCCTGACAGTTAAAGCATGTGTAAATTATATCAAGTCAAAGCTGCCACTTACTGCAGATTCCTCTCTGTATCGGTTTGTTTTATAGAAATTGGAATTGAAACATGGGTTTTTGATCCTTTCTTGCACTGTTTTTAAAAGTAAGGTTTTAGTTATTTACAACTTATTTTGGAATATGAACATTTTAAAATAAAGATTTTCATTTCACCTTTCTTTCCATGCCCCAACTATCCCAGAGTCTACCCATTTCCAAAGTGTTTGCCCGTGATGTGTTTTGATTTTCTTTTGTGAAGAGTTTTCACTTTGTATGAAATCACTGATAATGCTCAAATAACACCGACAAATGTACGTTAAAATGTTTTAGTTCCTGATAAACCTCATTTGCATATTGCTGAACATGTTCTGAACAGTGCAAGCAGACAATGTCTTAAAATGTGATACTTTCATGACAAAATATCATTTCTAATTATTTTCATTCATCCTTACTTTTATCTTATTCCATGTCGGTCGACCACCTGTTGAGTAACTTGAATGTGAAACAGGAGCCAAAGTAGACCATTTGGCCCTCAAATCTGTTCCACCATTCCATAAAGGTCATGACTGATATGTTTTTGATTCGGATTCCACATTCCCATTTACCTCCAATAACCTTTTGTCTAACCAGAATATATCTACCTCTGCCAAGGTATTCAATGACACTGTTCTGAAGTTGGTGGAGGCAAAGTTGCACAACATGCTGAGGAAATGTTCTTGTCAGCTCTGCCTGAAAAGGCTGAGCTCTGGTTTTAAAATGAGCCTAGCTACATGAGGAAACGTTACCACATTGACCTTGTCAATACTGTTCAGGATCTTGGACACTTCAATCAAGTCACGACTCACTCTTCAAAACTCCAGTGGAAACAAGCCTAGTCCATCAAACCTTTGCTCATAAGGCAATCTACTCACAACAGGGATCAAACTAGTACACCTCTAAATCTCCACCATTGTATAGGAACTTTTCTTTTAAAGAGGAAATCAAAACTGCCCACAATATTCCAGATGTAGTCGCATCAAAGTCCTATATAGACAAAACGTAACATTCATTCTTTTATGCTCAATTCCTCATGTAATAACGGATAGCATTCCAGTAGCTTTCTTAATTACTTGCTGTACCTTTCTACAAACCTTCTGTAACTCGTGCATTAGAGTATCTAGATCCCTCCAACTTGGAATTCTGCAGTTGTTCTTTATTTATGTAATATAGTCCTCTTCTTTCTGCCAATATAAACAACTTTACATTTTCTCACATCATAAGCCAACAGGTTATTGTCCACCTGCTGAACCAAATTATATTAGTCTGCAACGTCCTTGCGTCGTCTTCACAATTTACTTGGCTACCTTTTTTCTGTCATCTACCATTCTGTAAAACCATAAGACATTTCAACAAAATTAGGCTATTCAGCCCATCAAGGTTGCTCTGCCATTCAAAGAGATCGTGTCTGATCTGATACTCAACTCCACTTTCTTGCCTTTTCCTCATAACCCTGTACACCCTTCGTGATTAAAAATCTGTTTATCTCAGTCTTGAATATACTTAATGATGCAACCTTGAAGCACTCTGCAGTATGGTAAAAAACATTCCACAGATACACTACTCTGAGAGAAGAAATTTGTCTTCATCTCTTAATTAGGCAATCCTGTATTCTGAGATCATGTCCTCTGGTCCTGGACTCTCCCACAAGGGGAAGCAATGTGTCCACATCCATCCTGTCAAGCCCCCTAAGAAGTTTGTATGTTTTAGTGATGACTTTGATCTTATCTAAGTCATTAACATAAATTGCAGAATATTTATATGTACAAATTGCAAAAGACCCACGTATACATACACTGTTTTCGTCAAACAGGCAATTTCTCCAGGCAAGTATGTTACCCACTATTCCACGATTCCACTTTGCATGATAACCTGTAAGGCAGCTTATCAAATGCCCTGTGTAAATTACTGTAGAGTACTTCAGGCTCCCTTTTATTCCCTGTGCACATTATTCCTTCAAAGAACTCCAATAAATTGGTTATACATAATATTCCTCTATGAAACGTGCTGATCTTTCCTGGCTAGGCTGAGTTTTTGAAGTGCATGCCTATAACCTGCTTAATGGTTGATTGTAGCATCTCCCCCACCCCCACAATAATGTCAAGCTAACTGACCTATGGTTCACACCTTCTTCTTTAATAGAGGCGTTATATTTCATCCCCAGAATCCAGCAAATTTTGGAAAATTAACATCAGTGCATCTACTGTCTAGGCATAAGATCATCAGGATCCAGGGATTTACCTGTCTGCAAGTCCATCAGTTTGCATGTTACGTCTTCACTGATTGATTGATTGTAATTTCACCAGGCTCCTCTTTCCATCTCACCACCTGCTTTACAACTATTACCTGGAATTTTTAAAATATCCTCTATAGTGAAGACAGAAGCTAAGTAGTTGTTTATTTTATCTGCCATTTTCTTTTTGTTTTTTTATTCCTACAATTAATTTTCGTTATACTTCCACTTTTCCTTTTTGAATATCAGTAGCAACACATGCTTTTACATTCCCAGTAACTTCCTCTCATAGTCTAATTTCCTTTCTCCTGACTAACCTTTTTGATGTTGTCTGCTGGTCTTTATAGTCTGAACAGTCATCTGACCATGCCACTCATTTTTGCATAGTTGTTTTTCTTCCCCTAAAGTTTGAAGCTTTCCTTAACTTCTTTGCCTCACCAATGACTTTAGGTCCATGTTTAAATTTTTTCTTCATGGTGTAAACAAACTAATCCTGAGGATCCTCCATTGATTCATGCCACCAGTTTTGGATAAATTCTAACCAGACTTCTACCTTCTTCGAACAATTAGTGCCCAAAGCATGTGAACAGGGACCATCTAGGACTTGTACTAAACATACAATTGTAATTTACTGTATTTAGCAATAGACAGCTAAGCGACACCACAACGAACAGATCAAATCTTCCTTCTATGGTCCTGCCATATCCAACCATGAATCGTGGACAGTTAAATAACTAACAGAGGGGGAATGCTCTGCAAATATACCCATCTTCAAAGATGGAAAGACCAAGCACTTCAGTGCAGAAGTCAAAACTGCGTCATTTGCAGTCATTTTTGTCAAAAGGTACCATTTCGATGATTGATTGATTTCAACCTCTTGCTGAATTCTCCAGCATCACAGGTGTAGGTGTTTTGCCAATTTGATTCACTTGATATTATCTAAAGAGACATTTTAAGGCGCTGGATGCTGTAGAAGCTATAGATCATGAAAATATAAGAAATAGGAGCAGAAGTAGGTAGTTCTCTGCCATTCAATCTGATCTTAGCTAATCTCATCTCTGCCTTCTCCCCATAACCCTTCAACCTGTGACTGAATAAAAATCTGTCTCTCCCCTCAAATGTTCCCTTTGACCTATGTTCCCTCAAAACTGCACAACCCAACAACTGCGCAGCCAGTCAGAGGTCCTGTGCACACTTATGTGCTGATGCATTGACTTCTTCATGTGAAAGTCAGTGCCACATACACACATCTGAGGTCCTTGGGAAAAACATGGCCAGGGACCTCACCTTGTTCCTTATCCTATTAATTGAAACTAAAGATCATTTTTTTAACTTTAATTCAACAGTATAAGTGCTCACCTGGCCTTACTTTTCAAGGCAACCACTTTCTAGTGCCGACTCCCAGGCCCAAGTGAAGAATTTATGTTGTCCTTGCAGTGTAACTCGAGCATTTTCAAAACCTTACCCCCAATTCAACCTTCCAACTCCTTAAGGCTCTCCTTTCAACAATTTGCAGTCTTATCATTCTACATACAAGCACTGGATGCATGTGAGTACCACTGCCTAGCTACAAGTTCCAATTCTGTTGATTTGATTTTATTGTCGTATGTACTCAAATACAAATGTACAGGAGTACAGTTAAGTGTATAATGTCGCCACATAAGGTGTCATCTTGAGTACAAGTACCTGGGTACAGAACCTTAAGAACAAGTTAGAAAGAAGAAAACAAAGTTAAACATTGCAGTAATTATAGTATAGCGTAAAACATGCAAATTAAGGTTAAAATTGCATATTGTAGACCTTCTTAGTTTTAAATTAGAAATGAAGAAATAAAACAAAGTTCAAACATTACAGTCTTAAGTATTTAGCCATGGTGGGACTGCACTTTGAGGAATCACCTCGAGACCAGAAGTCCACGCTGAGGCCACGTACTGTTGAGAGACTGCCACGCTTGGCCACTGAGAGATTGCCCCGCTGGGCTGGGAGGTCGGATGCTGGGAGTCCATGCCCAGGAGAAGGAGGAATAAAAATAGGGAAAGAAATAAAGAGGGACAGAGCAAACAAGCTCCATCTAAAGTGTCCTACTCTGCCGCTGCCATCTTTGTACTTAGCATAGCCATGCAGGATCTTGAGTTGGAACCATATTGGTGATCCTTCACTGTTTCTGGGTGAAAACTCTGGAACTCCTTTCCTTCCTAATGGCACTTTGGTCACATCTTTTTCTATACCCTGCTCCACTCAGTACTGCCTTCTGAGGGGTATTTTAAGATGGAGAAAAAAAATGCTGGCCCAGCAAGCAACGCCAATAATTTGTTAATGAGTGAGATAATTAAGAAATAACATGGAGAAAGATGCTGAAGATTTGACCAAATAAAAGAAAGGTTTGGTTTTATTTTAGGGAACATTCCAATCCCAATTGAGAAACTTATTTTAAAAAGAAATTTGAACTCCCAGTTAGCTAGAAGAACCACAGTCAAGATTTTAATATAGTAAAATCTTTACAGTAAGAGATGACTACAATCACTACTAACTAAACATCTTTTGTCGTCAACTTATTCTTAAAAGCATAATAGAATATTCATCTTCTATACTTAATCCACATCACATACTCCACAGATTATTCTCATAGCAAAAAGCCTTCAATTGCTCTCAGCATCTATTGGGTTTGTTTTTGTTTTTGCATAATAACTTTTCAATCAGTATTTGAATAGTTTAAAAAAATCAAAAGTTGTGAAGCTTGCTTTAATGATTTCCCCTGGCATAGTCAAAGGGGAAGAATCTCCTGGAATCCTTGGATAACTGTAGCATGTGTCTCTGATTTTAAAAAGTCTTTGGTCGTTTGCAAAACCAAGCAATCTCCCCTTTTTGTGCTGATCATATAAAGCTCTTGTCTGTCTGTAATGTTCATTGTTGTACAGGGAAGCCTGTAACCTGATATCTAAATAACTTTCTCTGTGCCATACCAATATTCATGTGAAACACATTAAGCATTCCTACCATATGCAAAATTATTAATTAGTATTAACCTCAACTGCATTTCATCTTGGTGAACAGTTTATGATGCAACTGTTTAAAAGTCAATACGTTAAATATTTTTGGTGCTTTAGAATCTATCATATGTGAACTCCAGGATGTTGTAATTGTATCCGATTGGGAACACGTTACATCATCTCACTAATAACATAATCTGGGTGTCCTGTTTCTTTTTAATTTCCATAAGTCTGTTGTCAAGTAGACTTGCTCCCTCCAATTTATCTGAATTTGACTATTCCAAAACAAGTCTTTTTAAACTTTGTAATTGTCACAATCACTTATCCAAGTGGCATGCATGGAGACTAATGTATGCAGTTGTTCATTAGCTTGCTGAGCCGGTTGTTCTGTGGTGTGCAGATGTTTTGTTACCCTTCTAGGCAACCTCTCATCAGTGCGACCTCTAATCAATGCATTGGTGTTGTGCTCTGTTCCGAATTTATATGATCCTCTGGTGTGATGGGTCTTGTCACTTCCGTTTCTGTTTTTCAGCAGCAATCTGTATATGGACTGTATTTCTGTGTTTGTTAGTGGAGTCCTGTGTTGAGAACCAGGCTTCCAGAAATTCCCTTGCATGTCTGTTGTTCGCTTGTTCAGGCAAAAAAACAGAACCGGAAGTGACAAGACCCATCACAGCAGAGGATCATATAAATTCGGAACAGAGCAGAACACCAACGCCTCGATTAGAGGTCGCAATGATGATTTTGCCTAGAATGGTAACGAAATGTCTGCACGTAACAACCGGCTTGGCAAGCTAAGTAACAAATATATCCACAACCTGAGCTACAAATTTTTGCTAAGACCTTAAAAAAGACAAATCTATGATACTGGGGAATAGAGATTTTGTAGTGTTGCATTTTGACTAATACCTGATCATTTTTCACTTCTACTTAATTGTATGCAAATGTTATGATTTTGATCGTGATGTTGATTTCTAATATTGTATGTGGCTTGAGATTTTCTGTTCCTATTTTCAGAAATTGCTCTTAACTATTTAAGTAAAACCAAAATGCTGGAGAAGTAAAAGTATAAAGTAAAGTTGCCATAAGCTGCCAGATCATAGGGCTGCTGTATCCTTGGAGAGACATGACTGGTGATGGTTTAACCTGAGAGCGACCTCTCCTTCGGTGAGGAGAAAGGGAATCTTTAATGCTGTAGAAGGGCAGCAGGTCTGGCAACTTCTGTAGAGAGAAGTGTTTTGGATCCAATATGACTCGTCTTCAGAACTGAAAGAGGCTGAAAACTGGAGATTTTTATGCTCTTGACAGAGGGAAAAGAGTGTTAAGTAGAACAGATGAAGGTGCCCATAGTAAAAGACACATAGCAAGTTAATGGCGATAAAAGAGTGATTGAAATGTAAGATAAGTGTGAAGAATAGGTGTGAAAATGACAAAATAGCTTTGCTCTCAGCAAACTGGACCTAACAAAATATGGGCAGGAATAGGTCTTGTCATCGAAATGGAGGATGGAAGTCGTGCATTAGAACTCAATGTTGTGTCCTTGAGGTTATAACGTGCCTAATCAGAAAATGTCCTCCTGCTTGAATTGAACTTTAGAACAACATAACAGGTCCAGGACAGGAATGTCAGCAAGGGAGCGGCGTGGTTAAACAAAATGGCCAGCACCTGGAATGTTGGGGTCATTCTTAAAGACTGAATGGTGCTGTTCCACAAAGCAGCCACCCAGTATGTGATTGGCCTGTCTAATGTAAAGGGGACTACATTGTGAGCAGTCAGTACAAGAGACTAGATTGAAGTAAGTACAAATAAAATGCTAAATCATCTGGAAGGTGTATTTGGAGTCTTGGACACTAAGGAACGGGGAAGTTAAAGAGCATGTGTCATACCCTCTGATATTGCATGGGAAGGTACCATGGAGAGGGTAGGAAGTGCTAGAGTGGGCTAGGATGTCTTTGAATGTATGTCCTCGTACCCTGTTTCCTGGGTAACATTTCCCATTTCATACCCATACCTTCCCCTGCCCACCCGTCTTGTTTGTGTCTTGTTGACTTTTCTCTCAACAGAGCAGACCTAATTTCTCTTTTTCGCACATCCTTTTACATCTCAATCTCTCCTTTTTACTACCTTTTAGCATTCCTTTGTCTTTTGCTCTGGGTACCCTTGCCACCAGTTCCACTCACTCCCCCCAACCCCTACGCCCATCAATAGCATAAAGAACCACCATTTTTCAGCCCATCTCCGTGTTGAAGGAGAGACATATCAGATTCAAAATGTTAACGCTATTTCTGTTTTCACAGATGCTTACAGACCAGCTGAGTTCCTCTAGCCTCTTCTGTTTTTATTTCGAATTTCCAGCATTTGTAATATTTTGCTTTCATCCAATATTCACATAATGTTTCAACTGTTGCTTTCTAGTGAATGGCACAACTGCAGAGGGCATGTCCCTTACTGTTGAAGAAAGAAAATTGCTTGCTGAAGAGTGGATTAAACAAGGAAAGGGCAAGTGAGTGCTTTCATTTGGATTCAATCTGTGAATAAAAATGAATATTTATGTCCCTATACCAAGATATTGATTTTAAAATTTCAAGTGTTCTGCTGTCTCCCTCTCATCTTTCCAATGCAACAATTTATTTTACAGTATTGCTTCCAAGCCTTTTGTAAAATTTAAAGTCACTCAATTAACTAGATTTGGTGAGAAGCCCCAGTAGGAGACTAGATGTGAAATAAGAGATCCATGCATGTCTGTCTGACCAAGATTTATGATGCAGGTTTGACCCTATAGTTGCATGACAGCAATTTTTAAATACAAAATCAGAAACATCACAGGACTTCTCCCTGCAATGGAGATGTGAAGAAAGAAAATATTTTTGTAGTGCGTTTATGGCTTCGCATATTCCAAAGTGCTTTACAAAAACTTGGACTTTTTTTGAAAAGTAGTCACTGTTGCAGATTCCTAAAACTAGCATTCAATTTGTGTACAACAAGCTCCCAGCGCAGTAATAACAGGAAATCTGTGTTTAACTGATTAAAGAATAAATACTGGCCAGCGTACTAGGAGAGAACTTTACTGATTGAAGGTACTACAAGAGGGAATGGCAGAGGGCTTCCTGTGATTGATGCAATCAGATTCCTCTTGGCAACCAATTGGCACTGTTTCTCATGCAGTATATATTGATGCTTCCCTTAAAAAGGTTTTGTTCTTATCTGTTCTGATGTATGCAAGAAAAAAAGCTTGACATCATGCTCTTCTTTTAGCAATATAATAAAGCTTCTCTTTTAATTATCATTTTTCAACTTTGTTTTCTCAAAGCCTGTCTTGTTTTCCCCCTGTTCTGATTTCTGCCTCTGGATTGACATTGCCAGATGCAATAATGAATTCATTTCTTGGCTCAATCTTTGTGCTCACTAATTTTATTTTACATAATTTAGGTCAATTATTTGGATGAGAGGACTAAGGCATCGTAGCTAAATTCATAGATAACACAAATCTAGTTAGGATACTTTGTTATGAAGAAAACATGAAGAGTTTGTAGATGAATGTAGATAAGTTGAGTGAATGGGGGGAGAATCTGGCAGATGGAGCAGAATGTGGGAAAATATCAAGTTGTTCACGTTGGCAGGAATAATGGAAGAGTATTACTTAAATGGGGAATAACTGTGGGATTCCAAGTTATAAAGAGATTTTTGTGTTCTAGTGCATGAGTAACAAAAAGACTAGTATGCATGTACGGCAAGTATTTAAGAAGGCAAAGGGGCTTTATCCTTAATTACAAGGAATTGAACATAAATGTAAAGAAGTTATGCCTCAGTCACACAGGGCATTAGGAAAACTCATCTCCAACTGTAGGTATGTTTGGTCACCATATTTGAGGAAGAACATAAATATGTTTGTGGAGATTCAGAGGTGGCTTACTAGACTGATTTCTGAAATGAGTGGATTGTCTTTGCAGAAAAGTTGGACAGGCTAGGCTTGTTTTTACTGGATCTTACAAGAGTGAAGGCTGACTTAATTGAAGTGTATAAGATCTCGAATGGTCTTGCCATAGTGGATGTGGAAAGGATGTTTCTTCTGGGTGAGTCCAGAATGAGGAGGCATGTTTTTAAAATGAGGGAGTGCCATTTCAAGACAAAGGGGAGGAGATTAATTTTGAGGGCCATGTGTCCTTGGGGTTCTCTGTCTCAAAATGCAGTAGAAGTGGATAATTGAATATTTTTAAGACAAAGGTAGAGAGATTTTTCTTCAGCAAGGGTATCGGTGGTTGCTGAGGTTAGGTCAGAATGTGAAATTTAGAACACAACCAGATCGGCCATGATCATATGGATTTCAGAGCAGCTTGAGTCGCTGAATGGCCTACTCCCCCTATTTTATATGTTTGAGGTCTTCAGTCTGACTGGTTAAGGAGGTGCACAGATCTGTTAAGAGTTTATACTTATTCAGTATTAGGTTAACAGAGCCATCCACTACATAAGTCTAGCCAAGTGTAGCCTTACCATGAAAACCAGCTGAATATTGTTAACCTGTATGCTTCTTTCAGTACCTAAAGTGTTGCTTTTTTCTCTGCTTCTCTCTCCAGGTTAGATCAAGTGATAATTCATGTGGGTTCCTTAAGTATAAAAGAATCAAAACAATTGGTGAGCTTAAATTTTCATCTGCATATGAAATGTAGAAGTTTACTGTCTATTTCTGTATTTGGTGGCTCTTCTAAAGATAGCCACATGTACAGCAAATCTCAAATGCACATAAGATTGCTCCGAACCTGAATGTGATGGGAATGATCAAAATAAAGTGAAACCCAGAAGAATTGTTGGTGCTGGAAATCAAACAAAAGCAAATTTCCAGTAAAGCTAAGCAGGTCTGGCAGCATCTTTAGAGAGAAAGCAGAGTTAACATTTCAGGTCTGGTGATCCTTCTTCAAAACTGGTGGTAGCTAGGAAAAAGGAGGTGGTGGCTTTGAGCCACCATGACAAGCCAATGGCATGTGGCATCATTGCCATATATTTATGAATCAGTTTGGTTGAAGACAGGTATCTGTGATGCTGAGGATTTCAGGAGGATCCCAACGTGATCTATTCATTCCACATTTCTGGCTGAAAATAGTCAAGGGTGAAGCAATTTGTAACTCTTGCACTGATATGTTGGGCCCCTTGTCATTAGACAGAATACAGAAGACTTACAATTCTTGTTGGCCTTTATACTTTGCAAAAAGTGAGGAATGCTGATTGATGTGGCGTAGAACACAGGAGCCTCCTAACTCAAACCATACTGAGATTTGAATCTGTTTTGTATGGCTACTTTGCCTTTTCTATTCAATTCCTGTTTAGTTATGATAATCAATGTGACCAAAACATTATTGATAACTCCGGAGATCTTACAGAAATGCAAGTGTAATTAGAAGTGTGAAATCTCCCATTAAAGTAATAACTGTGACGGTAATAACATTAGTACAGTTGTGGTGATATTAGAATAACTTTGCGTAAATGTTTAAAATGTGAATGAGTGTCAAGTTGTGAAGTTAATTTTGAAGCGATCTCTTTCGGAAGAAGTCTTGTCTCATAAATGAAAATTTTGCTGATTTCTTTTCAATTTGCAACCTTTCTCAAATTGCTAACACATCAATGTATCTTTTACTACTGTAAAGTGTAGCTATTGAAAATAAAATTTTAAATGCTCTGCCATTCTTACTAACACATCCTGTTCCCTGTTTAAGGAGCTCCTCTATACATTTTGTTATTTGGAATTAAAATGTAGATCTGTTATATGTGCTCATTCTGCACAATATTGATAGAGAGCTGTCATTGTGCAGGTCTTTGTAAAAAAAAAAACACGCACAATTCTGTTTCAATGTTATGGAAATACTTAACATTCCTCCAGCAAGTGGCACCTGCTACTTCTATGGTACTTTTTTTTTTGTTTTTGACAGTTTTAAAACTTTAAAGATGTTCTTAGGAGTTCAAAATTACTTCAGCTTCACTGCCAGTAAACCATGATTGCAAAGCTCTATTTTTACAATCTACTTTTGTAGATTCTTCTTTTGTTTAAAATCAAGAAATATGTACTGCTAGAACCTACAAGTTAGGTGGAATTGTAGACAGTCTATCAAATATTCCTTTGTAATTTCGCTTTAAGTGATTGAACAAAACTGTCGCAGATGAAGCTCACTGTAAGCAAGTGTGAGGTTGTCCATTTTCTATCTAAAAAGGGTAGATAAGTATACTTTCTAGATGGCATGAAGTTAAAAGACTTGGGGCTTCAGGTGCATAGACCTTTAAAATGCCGTGAACAGGTGTAGAAAAGAATCAAGAAAACTAATGGAATGCTGGTCTTTATATCTAGAGGACTGGAGCACAAGGATGCAGAAGTTATGCTGCAGTTAGACATAACCCTGGTTAGACCCCACTTTGGAGTGCTGGGAGCAGATCTGGGCACCACACCTGAGGAACAGTATATGGGCCTTCGAGGGAGTACAAAGTAAGTTTACAAGAGTGATACCTGGATTTCAGGAGTTAAGTTATGAAGAGAGGATAAACAAATTAGGCCTATTTTCCCTAGAGTTTAGAAGGTTAAGGGGTAATCTGATGGCAGTCTTCAAAGATATTAACAAGAAAAGACTGAGTAAATAAAGATGAACTATTTCTACCGATTAAGGTTTCTAGAACTAGGGGGCATAGTCTGACAATTAGGGCCGGATAGTTAAGGAGAGATGTTAGGCGCTTGTATACACAAAAGGTGGTAAATATTTTGAATTCTCTTTCACAAATGGCAGTGGTGCAGTATCAATTTTTAGTTTTACATCTGAGATAGATAAACTTGTGTTAAGCAAAGGATTAAGGGATGTGGGCCAAAGGCAGGTATATGGAGTTAGACCACAGATCAGCCATGACTCGAGGGGCTGAATTGCCTACTCCTGTTCCAATGTAACAATCTGGAATTGGACCAGCTGAAAGAGAGGCAGAGACATGGGGTGCCAGGTTTAAATCAAAAATCAATCCAGTAGTTAGTTGCACTGAGTTGGATTTTGAAATGGGGAATTCATACTGAGAAGGTGATGGCCTAGCTTTATTATCACTAGACTATTAAGCCAGAGATCCAGGTAACATTCCAAGAAACTCAGGTTTGGGTCTTGCCACAGCAGGTGGTGGCACGTGAATTCAATACAAAGTCTTCAATTGAAAGTCTAATGATGATCATGTTATGGGGCCTATCTGGTTCACTGGTGCCCTTTGGGAAGGGAGACTGCTGTCCTTGCCTGGTCTGGCCTAGCCTACATGTGACTCAGACCCACAGCAACGTGGTTGACTCTTAAGTGCCTTCTGGGCAATTATGGATGGACAATAAATGCTGACTTAGCCAGTAAAACTCAATTCCTCTGAAAAAGTAAAAAAAAAGGTTAATTTCAAGGAGGAGCCTGGCAACCTGCCTGCACATTACAGAGTAAAGAGACAACTACATTGCTGTGCAGTCGCATGTAGGCCAGACCAGATGGGGATGGCTGCTTCTCTCTGTAGGGGACATTGGTGGACTAGATGGGTTTTTCCAAAAATTGACAAGAGTTTCATGCATCATTAGACTCTTAATTTGTTATTGTATTCAGATTCCACCACCTGCCATGGCAGGATTCAAACCCAAAAGGTCGCCTGGGTTTCTGGATTAATAATCTACCAATAATGTCGTAAGGCCGTAACATCCCTTCACTGTCACCAATGACACCTAGCCTCTAGCCAGGCGTGAAGATTAGCAAAATGACAATTAATAACAAGGCCTAAACAGATGTCTACAAGGTCGGCAGAAGAGGAAGGACTGGAGAATTTGGCACATGCTAATTGGACAGTTAAACCTATTGTTCAGATAACAGCAATAATTAGTCAATTAGACTGTCAATCAAGATGACCTGTATCAGATTGGCTGCTTCTGACCTGGCCATTCTGACTGACGTTACTCAGCATCAAGAGGCATGAGCCCCGGTAATCATCTTTTGCACCCCCTCTTTACAGCAAGCATTGCCTTTTACCGCCAGGAATGATGCAAGCTGCCTTTTTGTCTTCTAGCAAGTGAGCTGGATGAATGAATCCAGTTTAGTGTAAACATTTTCCGATCTATCTGCTTGGAGTATTTCCTGAGAATAAACTGAGCTTTCCACTCGTGATTCAAGTGCAGAGCTTGAGTGTCTAGAAAGGGATTGACACTCTGTTATCTAGTTACAGGGGAATTAATTCACTGACACACTGTTAATCCAACTGCTTGGTATGAGAGGAGAATGCTCGTTTATTGGCAAGTAGACTGTGACTTTGTAGACAAGACGAACATGTATGCATATTGCACCTGTTTCAACTCAAATTAAATGACTCCTATTGTTTAGTTCATTTATCAAGGCGATATCTTGACTAATCAGAGTCAACCTGTCTTGTTTAAAATTTAAACAAAGCTTCTCAGTTAACTGTCAATCAGCATTGACTGGTACGTTCTCTATAGTAATGTTTTTACCATTCAGAGTCCAGTTGTCAAATAATCAGCAGTCTCATGTTGTACACTATGTATGTTGTTTTCCTTGCAAGTTGTCCAAAAGTATGCAAGCAACAAGCTTCAACAAAATGCGTCTTTTTTTCAGCACAGTTCAAATTCTGTACTACCAAATGATGACTTCATCTTAATTACACTCGTGTTGTTGTGTTCCTGATTTGGGATGCACGAGATGCTGACTGCTTTGTCCTCACAAAATACTGATGTAAAATAATTATTTAAACATGTTCACTATTTTCCTTTCTATTGTTGACAACGTCAGGTTTTCATTTGGCAGGGAGCCCACATTGCTTACTATTGCTGTCCTTTTCCTAATCTAACTGTAAAAGGCTTTGTGTTGATTTTAATATCACTTGCAAAGCTCTTTTCTTTATCCCTTTTAGTAGCTTTTATTATCTCTTTAGCCACTCTTTGTTGCTTTTAGTACCTTCCCCTTTCACTAGAATAAATGCAAAAGCATATATATGTCCTTTCTCTTTTAGCTTTGTACCTTTTTTACTACTTTAGTCCTCCTTGGCTGACTTGTGCGGTAGAAACCTGCTTTTAGGAGTATAAACTGGTTTTTTATCATGTTAAATTCCTTTTTCTGAATATCTCTCACTGGTCATTTTTCTTTTTACTTATTGACCGGCATGCCTAATTTCCTGTGACAAAAACAGAAATTGCTGGAAAACGTCAGCAGGTCTGGCAGCATCTGTGAGGAGAAATCAGAGTTAACGTTTTGGGTCAAATGACATTTCTTCAGAACTGATGGTAGCTAGGAAATGCTACACCTGCCCCCATACCTCCTCCCTCACCCCCATCCCAGGCCCCAAGAAGACTTTCCACATCAAGCAGATGTTCACCTGCACATCTGCCAATGTGGTATACTGCATCCGCTGTACCCGGTGTGGCTTCCTCTACATCGGGGAAACCAAGCGGAGACTCGGGGACCGCTTTGCAGAACACCTACGCTCGGTTCGCAACAAACAACTGCACCTCCCAGTCGCGAACCATTTCAACTCCCCCTCCCATTCCTCAGACGACATGTCCATCCTGGGCCTCCTGCAGTGCCACAACGATGCCACCCGAAGGTTGCAGGAACAGCAACTCATATTCCGCTTGGGAACCCTGCAGCCCAATGGTATCAATGTGGATTTCACAAGTTTCAAAATCTCCCCTCCCCCCACCGCATCCCAAAACCAGTCCAACTCGTCCCTGCCTCCCTAACCTGTTCTTCCTCCCACCCCAAGCCGCACCTCCATCTCCTACCGACCAACCTCATCCCGCCCCCTTGACCTGTCCGTCCTCCCTGGACTGACCTATCCCCTTCCTAACTCCCTACCTACACTCACCTTTCCTGGCCCCATCCCCGCCTCTTCGACCTGTTTGTTTCCTCTCCACCTATCCTCCCCCCTATCCCTCTTCTATCCGCCTCCCACTCTCTCCCTATTTATTTCAAAACCCCCTTTTCTGATGAAGGGTCTAGGCCCGAAACGTCAGCCTCTCTGCTCCTATGATGCTGCTTGGCCTGCTGTGTTCATCCAGCCCTGCACCTTGTTGTCTCGGTAGCTAGGAAAGTTGTTTTTGTGCAAGTGGTAGAGTGGAGGAGGTGGTAAGGAGTAAACGAGAGGTGGAGGTAGAGCCCAACGAGAGAGAACGACAGTTGACAAACAAAGCAGTGGATAACGGTCAGCCTAGGAGAATGAATGGTTGCTAATGGGGATTATTAGTGGCTAACAATGGTGTAATAGCAGACCATGTGATAACAAGGCCTGCTGTTTTGGGATTGGGCTAAGGACATAGGAGAAGCTGCCTCAAGCCCTAAAATTGTTGAAGTCTATATTGAGTCCAGAATGAGGTGCTGTTCTTACAGCTTGCACTGAGTTTCACTGGAGCATGACAGCAAGTCTGTGACATAGACATTGGCCAGGGAACAGGGTGGTGTGTAGAACTGGCAGGCAACTGGAAACTGAGTATTTTTCGCGAGCAGAACATAGGTGTTCTGCAAAGCAGTCACCCAGTCTGTGCTTGTTTCCCAACGTGGATTCCACATGGTGAGCAGTGAATGCAGTAGGCTAGATTGAATGAAGTGGTGGTAAAGTGCTGCTTCACCTGGAGGGTGAAGATTACTGTGGACAGTATTGCTGAAGTCAGCTTTACCTAAAGCTATAATTTTAGCAGCTGTTTCACTTTTTTCCCTTGTAAATATTACTTTGAACAAATCATGTTATGATTGCTCTTGGAGAAATGTTCATGCACTATAAGCTTTGAATGAAATTTGTCTTATTACTGTATGGACTGCTGCCTTTTTAGTTTTAGGACTCCTTTTATACTGTGACATAAGCTGTACAGGAAGACGTTATGATACTGGATGCCCACTGAGAGAGGCCTCAAACACTTACTCCTCAGTTGTGTGGTGATCTAGTGGCATGGTAGCTCAATGGTTAGCACTGCTGCCTCTCAGTGCCACGGATCCAGGTTTGATTCGATCGTCGGGCGACTGTCTGTGTGTAACAAAAACAGAAGTTGCTGGAAAAGGAAGTTGCTCATCAGGTCTGGCAGCATCTCTGAAGAAAAAAGCAGAGTTAACATCTTAGGTACGGTGACACTTTCTCATGATCTCAGTCTATGTGAAGTTTGCACACTCTCCCTGTGTCTGTGTGGGTTTCCTCCAGTTGCTCTGGTATCCTCCTACAGTCCAAAGATGTGCAGGCTAGGTGGATTGGCCATGCTAAATTGCCCATAGTGTTCAGGGATATGTAGATTAGGTGCGTTACAGGGGGATGGGTCTGGGTGGGATGCTGTGAGTGTCAGTGTGGACTTATTGGGCCAAGGGGCCTGTTTCCACACTGTAGGAATTCCGAGTATTGACAGAAATTGGTTATTGCATTTTTCCTGGATATGTTAGCCAGGATGGAAGGTGATTCCCAACTCCTGTTCAGAAAAATTGCTGCAGTATTTTGCACATCCAACTGAGCATTAAGGCCTTGTTTAACTTAACATTTCACGCAAAAGATGCTCTATTTGGCCATGTACCCTGTCCATATTTCACCGATTGCTTAACTACATGCTGCAACTCTGCAGTGAGTCTCTAACTAAATACTTTTTAGGCTGAGATGAACCCTCTGATAATTTAGCTTAGTGGGCAGAAACTATGAGCACTATTTACAGGAAAAAAAGTAATTTTCTTCTTTTACAGTCCTTTGATATTTTTGTTAGAGATGATGAGACAAGTAAAATGATTTGCTCTGGCACCGTTAGAAGGAAAATTTTCCAATTTGGTCAGATATAACTGAAGGTTCCCTAAACTGTACAAACCTGAAGATTGACTTGGGAAAACAATTTCTGGATCTATATTTGATACTGTCTGAAATTTGAAGAGTTTAAGTGTTTACAGATTGAATCCTGCTGTTAAACTGGTTATACTTTAACGGTGAATATGTTGGGTGTCATTTCTCTGTGTTACATTACTTTGGCTGAGATTGAACACTCAGTTCTGATGCCATTATTTACTTGATAAATAGTTATGTAGTATGATTTCAATAAGGTGCCAGTTTGCCAGTATGGTGCAGAATAATGCAATCAGTGGAGGTTCCATCCTTGGACTGGCTGAAATAGGACTTGTTATCTTGCCTTGCACCAGAGTGATTACATTGCATAAACCATAACTAGCAATTCCTGAAAAATAAGGACAGGGATGGAGGCTATTTTGTGTAAGGATAACATTGAATATATGGACTAATAGATTCTTTTTGTTTATTTTTGTTTCAGGCAATACATGCTGCCAAGTGCAATGCTTCTGGGATTGCAGTCATTTCCCCATTTTTCTTCAAGCCTCAAAGTATAGGTTGTGCATTTATATTGCTTTCCACAGTTTTTTCAAACAAAATACTGACAGTTATGCAGTCAAAGTTCATCGTACACCAAGCAGATTAATCTTAAGAAGTTACAGGCTTTTTTTGAGGTAGATCTGAGACCAATTTCAGTACCCACCTTGGTCCAACTAAGAATTAAACCTGCTATGTAAAGCCGAGTACTACGCTACATTTGTATGCTTTATTCACTGAGTAATTAAGTGACTTCCTCGTAATAAAAGCTAAGATTTTCCTGATAGAAATCATCTATTTCAAACTTTTAATTTTAGGAGACAACTGTGTGAATTATTGTTGTTATGCAGATCAGCAGTCTGTTTGCCATAGGGATTTCTAAATAGTTTTTGTCAATTGTGGACATAACTCCATAATATTATGCTTATGATTAACACAAACAGTCTGCCTTTTTTGGTTTGGCTTTTTGCGTCCCCCACCCTATTTCTCCCTGATTCCCTTTTTCTTTTCGCAATGGCACATTGGCTCAAGCAAAAACACTTCCGTATTATTCAGTTTTAAGCCAATGAAAATCATTTCCCCCAGTTTCTTAACCTGACTCTCACCACGTGATTCAATTGTATTCTAACTTTTTTTTAATCTAAGTTAAAGCAGCAAATTGGGAGATCCACCAGTAATGTGTAACTGTAGCATAACTTTTCATGTTGCAATATCTGTGTACTTCTCAATTAGTTATTTTTGAATTATAATAACTATAATGTTAGCATATTTTAGGCCAAAATTTGACAATTAAGAAGAAATTAACTTCTTGTTACAGAGGCTTTAACAGAATGCCTAAAGGAAGTAGCATCTGCTGCCCCCAGCATCCCTTTCTACTATTACCACATTCCTGAATTTACTGGAGTATCTTGTAAGTATAAAAACACACAGCAGATTTTGAAAATATCACGAGGAGTCTCTCAAATCTAACATAATTTTGACTCATTGCAGTAAATGTTGTGGAACTGCTAGATGGGATCGAGAAAAGGATTCCAACATTCCAGGGAGTGAAGTTCACTAGCAGTGACTTGTTGGACTTTGGTCAATGTGTTCACAAGTTCAAGGATAGGTTTACTTTGCTGTATGGAAAAGATGAGGTATGGAAATTTTTCATAACATGTAATTAACATCTGATTCTTTAACCTTTTCAGTTTAGCATGTGTTAGAGGAGTGATGAGGTTTGTATACATCAACTGAGAAGCTGAAGGAATGACGAACCTCTAGAGAGGAGGTTACAAAAACTACATTTATACTCTCTCCAAAATAAATTAAGATTGAAGGCATGTCTGTATGAAACTCCATTCCAGATTACATGGTGAAAAGATGTGGTTGGGATATTTATACAGTATGTACAAACAGGAGGAGCAGATCTGCTGCGACTACTTCAGCTTGATGTAAATATATTCCTCTGTTTTAGTATCCAGGTTGCATCTGCCTGTGTGAAAGGTTTATGAGGCATGATCCCTATCTTGTAAATTGTGCTGAACTTTGTCTATCCTGAGTGAGTGTGATGTCAGGAGCAAATAACAAAAACTTCTAGTTGAACATGGCTGGAATTGTTCTTCTTGGATTGTGTTCTTGATAGGGATTTGGGTGTCTTTTTTTTAATCTCTTTCTGAAACCTTCCCATTCTTTGCATTTCTTCTGGTATGTCCTTCTGCAATATGTATTTTTATTTGATTGTCTCCTTTTTTCATTATGATGATCCTCTTGGCCTACCTTGTGTTAGTTTTTAGATTCAATGGAAATGCACTGAAAATGTGGATTGTTACGCGTCTGAGAGGTAACACTTAACACCTAGAGGAAGATACAGCAGAGACACCTAGAGCTCTATAAAACCATAATTCCATTTATTAAGTACTTAAACAAATAACACACTTTTAATTACTAGAGGTATCTCAATCACCATTTTTCACTACCCTGATTTCTGTAACGAAACCCAAATTTTATTACCCAGGAGAGTTCGCAGCTGGGCAGGCTGAAAGTGCTCAATGTTTTCACCATACCTCCTGACGTAGGGTACTTTCTTACAACTGAGTCTTTGAAGTGTTGTTGAACAAAGGGATTTCTTCAGGCGTTTTATACACAAATCTCTGTGCCAAGTACATGCCTTGTGTGGAATTATGCATGCATGTGACCAATGCTGAATGTTTTGTCCAACTGTATGCCACCTTTTGGACTTAACGTGCACATGAGCAATCCCAAACGTATACCTTCTCTGATACAGCCTGCAGTTCCTCATTTCCTGCAGTTGTAACTCAGCGTACTTTCATTCACAAAGCAGCCGGTTGTTGTTGTGGTGGTGGCGGTGGTGGTGGTGTGTGTATTTATGCAATAGCCTTATACAAGAGGATACACTGAAACACCTAAAGATTTGAGTTAATAATTCTTTAAGGGTAATTCTTGCACACAGACAGCTATAACCACTTTTCGGGCTTTATACATTAGAGGCTATGAGTACTTAAAGAACTAATAAATTGGTACATGACATTAAAGTATCGTGTGTAGTATCAAATGCCAAGTTAATGGAGAGATATAGTACAGATTTTCTGGGGAGATATCAAATGAGATACAGTATTTATGTCAAGATTTCATTTGTGTCCACAATCGTACAAGTTCATTGTTGAGCATTGTAAAATTTAAAAACAAAACTTGCATTTATCATGTATACTTGTCGGAAAGTCAAATTTTTCAGAACTAATTTTTTTAGACTGAGTTACGCTTTTGTTTTTTCATTCATAAGGGTGGCACTGAATAGGGCAATAAATGCTGCCATCCCTAATTACCCAGAGGGCAGTTCAGAGTCACCATGTTGCTGTGGGTCTGCAGTCACATCTAGGCCAGACTGGGTAAGGACAGCAGTTTCCTTCCCTAACGGATATCAGTGAACCAGATGGATTTTTCCTGACAATCGAAAATGGATTCATGGTCATCATAAGATTCTTAATTCCAGGTTTTTTTTATTGAATTCAAATTCCATTACTCGATTCGAACCCGGGTCCCCAGGATATTATTTGGGTCACTAGATTAACAGTTCAGCGATAATACCACAAGGCCATCACCTCCCCGATGGTAATGCTTTTGAGGGATTGATATGCATGTTTGATTTGTGCCCATAAAATAACTAAATTCATAGTTTGTGCACTGATTATAGGAGGTCAACCAGGTGGACCTAATTGAATATAAGTGCCCTGAATGGGGATGTTAACCTAGTGAAATCAGGGAGCCTTGGCTGACAGATATAAACAGGACTGTGTTCATTGACCACATGGGTGTTTTTCCTGATTGTGCAAGAACTTTATTCAATATTTCCACTATGATGTCTCTTTCACTGATTCTGTACATACATACAACGACAGCTGATGTGGTGGGGGAAATAAAATAAGCACTACTGCTGTGCATGATAAACAGGAAAAAAGATTTAAAAAAAACAGGTGTCAGAGGTTCTACTCATTGGGAGTTGGCTGTTTGGAAGCCAGACCGATGTCCAGTACTATGCACATGTAAATTAAAGGGTGATTTTGTGACGGAATACTGGAATCTCCTGGAGTTATTTCAGTTTGTTATTTGTAAAAACTTATTCATAGCATTGTGAACTAACTATAATACTTCACGAATGAAATCCTTCAAAATCACTGATCACCATTGAATAATCAAATAATTTGTCCTAAAAACTTGGTTGAGTAACATCACATGGATCTTCTTTTTCGTCTTCATTGGTACTGGTAGCTTTGGCAGCACTAGTCCTCAACAGTTTGAGTCCTAGAGATGTACAGCTCAGAAAAAGCCCATTTGGCCCATTGCATCTGTGCCAGTCAAAAACGACCACCTAACTATTTTAATCCCATTTTCCAGCACAGTCATCCTCAGTATCATCAAGCACATTGAGTATTCCACTGTGGTCTATTATTTAAATATATTGACATCAAACTAATTTAAAATACCTGTGATCCATTGGCTTACTGTTAGTGCAAGTATTTGTGTATATTTGCCCTTCATAAGCTTGTTTCATTTTACCTGCAATATCGAATTGATCCAAATGTTTGGAGACTGTCCATTTAGGTTTATTTCTATTCCCTTCTAAGGACTGAACAACATTTGTAAGTTCTGTGGTATCTTTTACATTCACCCAACCCAGGCTAATGGGTGTTTGGTTTAATATCTCATCTGAAAGGCACCACTTGTAGGAGTACAGGACTCCTCAGTATTGCTTTGGAGTGTCAGCCTTGATTTTTCTGCTCAAGATCTGGAATGGGACATGAACCCAGAATTTGCTGACTCAGAGGGTGAGAGTGCTATCGGAATAGCCCAGCTGACCCTCAAGTGATGGTGTTTTTGTTTTGTTATCTTCACTTGTTTTTATATTATTTTTCATCTTGATAAATACTTTTTATTAAAATCTAATTTTACAGCAAAGTCTCTTTGCTGAAGTGTTCATCAACATGCCTTACAGGTGGGTAGAACACGTGCTGAAGCTACTTAGCTTTGGGCTGCTTATAACTGCCCAAAACAGATCGCAATTTTACGTTTGTGTTGACTTGCACATGTACACTTTGGTGTTCCAGTTAAAGACTTATCAACCAATAAGGCAACGTCATTAGTATTGGCCATTTCAAAGTTCTAGGCCTATAAATTTAAGCGAGAAACCATTGAATGAGAGAGACAGTACACTTCTAATGACGTTACTTAGGTTTTGTGCACTTGTTGCAATTGGCTTGCATCTGCTGATTAGCTTCGTTCTGAATTTAGTTTTTCCTTCAACAGCTACTCTTATCGGCAATTGTACTGGGAGCAAGTGGAGCTGTTGGCAGGTAAATCTTTAGTAATTTTTATCACATACTTACTGTACATAAAGTTTGATCAATTGTTTGCAATGTATTGTTGACAGAGCCACTGTTTTTAGGTGACAGGGTAAATTTAAATTTTTATTATGCAACATTCTGAGAATTTAACTCATGTTTCTGGGGTTAGTTCCTACAGTTCCTGTCCAAGTTGCTATTAAAAACCAGAAATCCATGCCTTTTGATAGTAAAGAGAAAATTTTCGAATTTTTACTTTGCTGTCACAAAGTTGCATTACGTATCTTTTGGGACTTTTATTCCCCTGGAATTGCTACCTTATGGTGGCTGAGGGGTTAAAACGATGGACTATTTAACCCATTCTCTTATCACATGTTCAAATTGCACTCTCATTGCTCTTTCAATAAATGTTTGGGGATCAGTTAGTTCAGATGGCTGGTTTGTGATGCAGTGCAATGCCAACAGCATTGGCATAATTTCTGAGGTTGCCATGGAGGATTCTCCTCAAACTCTCACCCTTGCCGGTGGTGTGGTGACCCTCTGTTACACCACCACCAATTGTCGCTCCTCCCCCCTTCTTCTCTCGGTTGCACTCGCGCGCTCTTGCTGACCGGCAGTGCCCCCTGCATCTCCCACCCCCGTGCCCTGAGAGAGCAGTACTATGGTGAATTCACTTTACCTTTGCCACCATTTGGTCTCTTCCATGCCAATGAATGTATCGGTTTCCTTCTGTTACACTTCATCTTGCCAAATTTAAGTTGGAAAACCTAGTGTTTCTTGTTTATGTGTGAAACACATTCTCTGGTATGACAAAATATCTTGGAGTTTAAAATGTAATTCAGCACTAAAACATCAATTGATGGTAACTTCCATTTAGATTGTGTGGACTAATTTTTAGGCAATTTTTCCAAATGTATATGATGTTGATTCTCTGAGCTGTTCTGGATGACTGTTTGTTTTATTTTCCTTATTTTTTTTTTAATCTGATGCCTTCATTCACTATTTCATTTTGTGCCACCTTTCTATGCTTCTTTGCATTTTCTTTTTTTTTGTCCTTGGTTTGCGGAAGTGTGTGATTGAGATCACGAAGATGTTTTCATATCAAGAGTTTCAAAGCTGCATTTGTAATTGGGATTGGAGGCCTTGATCCTGATGGAAAACCTAAAAAGATGGCCTTTGACCCTGAGGTAGTATGTAACTGCGTGGGGTACCAAGGAATACTTGTGAAGTAACCCTGGATCAGTAGGAAACTTTCCAGTGGTGAAAGTCTCAACTAGAACAAGATAGAGGTGGTTATTGAAGGATGGCAAATTAGGAGAGCTCAGAGAACCAAAAACCACGGGCAACAGAGACTGTATTCCTTTGCTTGATGGGAGTAATGACGTATGTGCAACACACAAATGCTTAAGGGCTTTGTGAAGATCTACTCCAGACTGGAAAACAAGGGCTAATTATTGAAAAGTTTGATTCTAAGATGTAATTCTTTAAAGTTCGTAATGATTGCATAATATGTTTTCCTTCAGTACATACAATTATATGGGAAAGTTGTGTAACAAGATGCTGACTTTTGCTGAGAGAGGAGACTACGACTCGGCAAGGGAGCACCAGGTAAATTAATTTTCCAGCTTTTTTCCCCACTGAAAGAAATAAAAATAGCACTGGCAAACCTCTGAAAGAACTTTTGTTATCCTTATGATGTCAATGGCAAGGTCACCATTTATTGCCCATTCCCAATTGCCCTGGAACTGAGTGACTTATTAGGAAAGAAGGCAGTTAAGACTCAACCACATTGCTCTGAGTTTGAAGTTGCACGTAAGTGAGACATGGTAAGGACAGCAGATTACCCTCCCTAAAGTATATTCCTAAAGTATAGTTACAGTTGTCAGTTATTATGTGGTCGCCATTAGGCTAGCTTTTAATTACCAGATTTTGCCATCTGCCATGGTGGAATTGGAGCCCATACCCAAAAACGTAAGCGCACTGTTGACCTGGACCTCAGGAGTAGCAGTCTTGTGCAGAGTTCTCTCTAATTTTCTTTTTGGCTGCATGAGCCTTCAAAATCCATTTGCAGCAGTAACATCCAAAACCAGAATTCCTTGCCATGATTGTTGTACCGATGCCGATCATTGCACAAAACCTTGGTACAGCTGTGTGCGTGCAAAGCTTAGATGGAACATTGATCTTGTGGCATTACCACTATGCACCACAAAAACTATGTTGAAGGCTCTTGATTTTAGCATTACAGTGTGAAGTTTCTTATCTGTTTTGAAGGGATGTAAATATTCTTTGATTTGACAGTCCCTTCGTCCAAGTCTTTTGGTGCCCTTAGAAGCTGTAACAGAGAATAACTTTAAAATTTGTCCCACATGTTTTGCAGATTTATTTCAAATAGTTCTGTGTATAAATAAGTCCATTTAAAATAAATTCCCTTCTCCTTTCTGTCAGAACACCTCAAGATCTTGGATTATTCCTTTGTCTTCACCAAAGGTAGTTGGTCTTTCGGCCAATGTGTTCCTACCCTGAGCCTGGAATTCCCCCTCTAAATTTGTCTGCCTCTCTCTTACTTCAAATGATGCTGCTGTTTCTTTCAACACTTCCTAGTACCCAGTTTATGTGCAAGCTTTCGATCGTCCACTCTCATTGTCTATGCAATTCATTGTCTAATCTTTTGTTTTATAATATTTCAATGAATAGCTATCATGCTCTTTGTCAACTGCAGGCACTATAAATACAAATTGTTGTTTGAGTACATATTGAAAAAAATGATGGGGAAGAGGAGTGAAATCAACTGAACCTCTCACTTCTGATTAGTCTAATTCCTTTTACAGTAAAGTTTTGGTTGTGAATATTGAATGAGAACACAATTGATCTCACCTTTGTACCCATGGATAAAATAATATATTATTTCAAATCGCATATGGTGAATACCAACTTAAATGAGCTACCAGCATAGCTGGATTTGTAGCCTAGCAAGAGTCTGCATACTTAATACTAGAAGGAAAGTATTTGAATAAATGCAACAGAATATTCAAAGCTGCATAGAATTATTCTGGTGTGCTTTTATTTTCTATTTCCAGTCCGTCCATACATTGCTGTCAAGGATAGTAAAGTCATGTGCACTTAATTCATTTTCATTCATGTCTTTTCCAGGCTGTGATCCAGGAGTTCATTGGCTCTATAAGTAGATTTGGTGAGTAGATTGGAATTGTTACTAAATATTCCTGACAATTTTGCATTCACAGGATGTCACTATAATCAGCAGTTGTTATTCATTACTAAAATTGCCTGCAAGAAAGTGATGAGCTGCCACCTTAAATTGCTGCAGTCCATGTGAAGATGTTACTCCTACATGTTGCAAGGATTTCCAGGATTCTGACCCAATGAGAATGAAGAACTCTTAATATATTTCTAAATAAAGATCCTGTTGGATTTTGAAGCAGTGGTGTTTCCATACATTGCTTCCTTTGTCCTACTGAGCGGTAGAGATGTGTGGTGGAAGGTTCTATTGAAGAAGCCTTGACAGTTGCCACAGCACATGTTGAAGATACTACACACTGTGCCAATGATAGATGGTGATGGAAGGAGTCAATCCTTGAGATAGTGGACTACATTGTCATGAATAGTATTGAGCTGCTTCAGTAGTGTTGGAGCTGCACATTTATTTGGCAAATGGCGAATGTTCCATTCACACCTCTGTCTTGTACCTCATAACTAATTTTTGGGGAGTTAGGTGAGTCGCTTCTGCCAAAATAGCCGGCTTTTGACCTGCTTTTGTCACCTTTTTGAATTTCTGATCAGTGATTCCTGAACTTTGCTGTGGAAATTCAACAATGGAAATATTTTTGAATGCCAATAGGAGATTGGTGGTGGTGTTAGAAATCATTTTAAAATGGTTTGGCTTAGGACACTGTCCCAAGGAATTTAGTCTACTCCTTAAGGAACGAGAAAGCTGAGAAGATTGGCAAAACTTTCAGAGCTGAATTTGCATAGCTGTTCACTGGACATGGAAAGTTTGAAGAAAGCACCACATAAGTCTATGCCCTGAATTGAAGCCATTATGTCTGTCTCCACCCAGAATTGTTCCTTATCCACTCTTGTGAAAGATAAAGAAGGAAATTGACTGTCCATTAAATCAAGGGGTTACTCCTTCTATGACAGATCCAAAAACTGATGGGTCTATCAGAATTGGTGTAGATCTTGTGCAAACAAACAAAGCAGTTGTATGCAGTTCATCCATGCCATCTGGTTAGCAAAATTGGGAAAGGCAACAAGCCCTTAATGAATTTTTCTTGATATTCATTATTCTGTTTGGAAGGTCTTGTTTTAGCAGACTACTCTTACTCTTCAGCAGCACATCAACAACAGAAAACTTCTGGAGGATAATATCAAGTATCCTACAAGGCGTGGATGAGATCATGTGCTGTATGGATTATGTGCTGATCCATGGATCCACTCAGACAGAATGTGACATTAAGCTGCAAGCTGTGCTGTAATACCTACAGGAAGTAGGACTTAGATCCACAACACATTCTGAGTTGACTGTCAAGTATCTTGGACATATTGTGGATGCATCTGATATTAGAGTTGATCTGTGGAAGATGAGAAGAATTGAGTTTCCAGCTCCTTTTCAATATGATTGATCACCAGAGATTCATGAAAATTGTAAGCCAAGTAGAAAGTTATTGTGCAGTGGTTCTGGGAAGAAGTACAATGGAAGACTTTTGAGAAAATCAGAGGTGCAGCTAACACCTGAGATTTTAGCACTCTGTGATCCACACCTAGCTCCTGCCATTGCTGCAGATACATCTCTGACAGGACTGGGAACTGTACTGTTTCAAAGACATAGAACCTGAAATGGTGGATTAGTTCACGACGTGTTCCATTTACTGATATTGATTAGAAACAGGAGAGTTGCAGTGCATTACCAGTTCCTTCAGCCTGTGACAAGTTTGCATTCTTGTGTTCTTCGACTTGCATGTCTGTGCAACAGAAAAGTGAGGTAGCACAAATGGCTTCAAGAATACAACTCTGACCGAGAATGGTACAAAAGTAATATGTCAGGAAAGCAGCAGACCAATGGTTTGTTTTTGTTGAAAAGATAGCAGCCTTTGCAATTACAACTGCAACTTTATCAGCAATAACGCAACAATTGAATAAAAGCAGAGGAGCACAGAAATCTAATGAGAATGGGCTCATATTAGAGACCACTGTCTAAGAATACATAATCCTAGTCCCAGACAGTAGTATGAAAAGAGGTGACACCTCTGAGTCTTTGTAAGAGGCCTGAGACTTGATATACTGTAAAAGATTTCACCAAAAACATTTGGCTATCACAATGTAAGGCCAAAGGAAAATATACCATTTGGTGGCCAAGTCTATCCAAAACTATTAGAAGATGTATTAATCTGTGCTTCTTGTGCTGTTCATCACAGGACCAGAAACCTGTTAATGTCAACTTCCCATCACAACAGTGTAAACTCCTCACTGAAAGAAGATCAAGAACTCAACTCCCAATTCTTCCACTCATAATCCTGCCATCAGTATAAAATGGTTATTTGGAAAAAGTAATGGAGAAAGGGATGAATACTGATCCAGTCGGGTATAAAATTTTGACAAGTATTACAAAGCATATAATCTATCAGACCTCCAATCAAGGCACCCAGTTTGGATTTCACACCAGCTGGAGTATTGTGTGCAGTTCTTTGTCACACACAATAGGAAGGATGTGATATGATGCTGCAGAGGAGCTTCACCAGGATATTGCCTGTGCTGAAGTGTTCCAGCTATGAAGAGACTAGATAGATTGGGTTTGTTTTCCTGAGAACCAAGAAGGCTGAGGGGAGACCTGATTTGAGATGTGCAAAATTGAGAGACACAGATAGGAATAAATGTTTCCCCTTGGTAAAGGGATGAGTAACCTGGGGATATTGATTGATTTATGTCTGGAGGTCTGGAGGGATTTGAGGAAAGTTTCTTTCACCCAGAGGTAGGGTGGTATCTAGAACTCTCCTGGTTGAAAAGATGGTTAAGGTGAAACCATTACAACATTTTAAGAAATATTAAGAACACAAATGTGTACAAGGCTGTGGGCCAAGTGCCAGAAAATGAGAATAAAATAGGTAGCTGATTGATAACATCAGAGCTTGAGAGCTATGACTTATTTGTTCCTGGTTTGACGATTCATGTGAGCTCTTGCTCTTCTGTTTTAGCCACACTAAAGTCAGATGTAAATTTTAGAATTTCTAAAACAGCAGCTTTCAACATGCTGTTGTTTTGCATACATGTTGTTTTGCATACATGTTGTTTTGAGAGACTGATGCCCAAACGTAGAGGTTTTTCCTAATGATCAAAGATGTTAAAAATTGTTGAGCTAAATTTCTACAAACTCTAAACCAAAAATCTTTGGGGGCAAAAAAATTTCATGAATTGAATTTTAATATATCCAATTCAAATAATTTTCCTCCAAGTTTTTGTTATTTTAATATTCTGACCTGAGCTTTGTTGCCAAATTTGAGTTTTTGTCTTCGCTGCTCCAGTCGCCTGGAGATGAAATACATTGCTGCATTGTGGTATGAATTTGCCTTCAAACAGGTTGTTTTTACTTGATGTGGCAACGCACGTGTCATCTCCCCATGATCAAAGAAACTGAATGTGGATTTCATGATATTAAAGAACTTAACAAATTCTATTATGTACAAACCTCACCTCAAGCACACAGGTGTCTGGGCTAACGTTTAATCTAGCAGTTTACGACAGAGGGACATGCTTTCAGGAGAATGTCACACTACAAGTGATCTGAAGTAAGACTGAGTCTTAAGATTTTTATTCTCTCATGTTACATGCTTTGATGCAATGTTGACTTCATAAGCTCATGATAAAAACACTGACCATGACACAGACACAACATATCACTTTGAAGTATACGCTGCTAAAATAACTACTTGCTCCTAATTGGTCTATGTGCATTCTTGAGAGCAGTTAAATAATGCTTTCTAACTAGATGACATTCCTACCTCAGCTGCTTTTCCAAGCCTTTGCCTTTTTGTTACAAAGAGAAAGTAATGGAATAGCTCAATGTGGCTAATAGTATGTGGAAGGGAAAGGTATCGTTAATTTTACATGGGTAATCCTTAACCAAACTGTTGGAGAAATCCCATCTGATACTTGGATGTATGTTTCCCCACTTCCACTTCATACATAAATTGACCTGTGCATTTTCTGACTTGTCTTAAATCCATTGATTTATACTGAGCATTTAATGATTCTGCCAACCTGCCCTGAGAAGTTGCTAGCTGGTAACATGGGTTTGAGATACGGTTATGATTGTATTACAAAATTTCTGAACATGTATCCAACAATTTTGCATGAAAGATAGTAATGATGACATTGGGTAATTGTTCATACAGGTTTTGGAGTGGCTGAAAACAAGGCTACAATGACACTTGTATCAGGAATTCCACTTGGTCCCCCTCGCCTGCCATTATTAAAATGCAATGAGGAGAAGCAAGCAAAAATATTGGCCACACTGAAAATCTTAGGCATATTGACATGAACACCACTCATCATTATGGATGGAATTCACTCTTGGAATATTCATTTACTGTGTTTTACAATTATTCAATTTTTCCTCTTTGTTTTGCTTAGACGCAGGATAGGTCTAAGCATTAAATCAGTAATATTTTGTTACAATGTATTAAATTATGAAGTTCATGCTGTCAAGTATGCTTTAGAAGGCTGTAAGGTTTAGTTATAATTAATGTCTTTTGAGCTGTATAGGTGGGTGTCCAAAGACCATTCTGGAATGTATTTTGTTGCTACTCCTCTTAAAGGGAGCGCAGTGTTACAAATTGGCTATGCACAACAAACAAAAAAAGGGGTAACATTGGTTCTGCATTTTGGTTTGGAGATGTAATGGATGAGGAATTATTTGCAGTGTTAGAATCTTGTGACCTTCGTACCTACATTTACATGCAACATTGTCGGTGTTAACCACATCCCCTAATCTACATATCCAATCCTGTAGATACATCAATGATTGACAACACTATAGACAGCCCTGGGTCCTCCCATGACCTCATGATGTTTACCAGACACCCTCCTTGCATTGTAAGAGCCCAAGGACATGCATATTATTCGATCACATTCCAGTATTGACTGTTATGCTCCTCCCCAGACAACTGCCAGCTGTGTCATACAGTTGACTAAATAAATCACTTGACTCCCAGAGTCCACTTCCAGCATGAAAGAGTTAATTGAAAATACACCAGTGGGAAAAAGCTTCTTCAATAAACAAAGGAAAGACGTAAATTTTTACACGTTTGTTTTAGCTCACTGATGAGCCATCTAGACTCAACGTTAGCTTGCTGTCTCTCCATGGATGCTGTCTGATCTGTGATCTCCGGCATTTGTTGTTTTCAGTTTAGAAATTACAGATCAATCATTAATTAATTACATGTACAATCAAATTAATCATGTGATAGTAGGAACTGCAGATGCTGGAGAATCTGAGATAACAAGGTGTAGAGCTGGATGAACACAGCAGGCCAAGCAGCATCAGAGGAGCAGGAAAGCTGATGTT